GTTGTTTCTTTTTCGTTTATTTATGTAAATATCTCTATATATACATAGACATCATATATTCAGATATTATTGATTGCAATGATGTTGTTCAACGTGTTTCTGTGTTATATTATTCTATATACATATTATATATTTTTTTCTTCTTTACTCTATTATTCTACTTGTGTTGTCGTGTGTTCCATTTTTGGAAAAAAAATAAACTGAGTATGGAAGGACACTTATCTTCAATAAACGTTACATTCAAAACACTGATGCTATTTCATTATCAAGATATAAGAAATATTATAAATATTTCACGCCAGGAAAATTATATATTGTGAAACATGATATTAATTCAAATTGAGTCTAGAAAGAAGTTTCTTTCTATTTCTTAATATAATAGACAAATGATTAATGATTTGATGCACTTCACAATTGCACTGAATCCACATTTTTCCATTGATAATCATTGTCTGGCTTCATTTTGACCTAAAAAAATAGAATATTTTATTTATTTCATAAATTAATAAAAAGTATAACACCGTATTCTAAAGCACATGATATTGTCACGCAGCCATTTGTCGCGTGATATTTGTGCAGCTGTCGAAAAGTATGCATTAGAAACAGTAGTCTTAACAGATGTATAGATTCTCAAAAACATTTTTTTATATTATATAAACGCCAGCATCTCCTCATTCTACTTCAGGATAACATTGTCGTCTACAATTCAAAATATAAAACTATTACAATGCAAGCATCATTTGCTATTCTTGTTGCTCTGGTCTTGTTGGGTTCTATCTACTCAGCATCGATACCTACACAATTTGATCGTGATCTTATTCAAACTGAAGTTCAATTCTTGGCATCACTCACACCACAACAACGCAACATTTGGAATTCAATCAAAGATCAGTTGGTCAATGTCACTATTCATACAGCTACAAGCACTCTTGGTTCTCTCTTGGGTAAACGCAATGTTGATGATGCTGAAATGGAAGTGTTCTTGTCATCACTCACACCACAACAACGCATCAGTTGGAATTCAATCAAAGACCACTTGTTTCATGGTGCTATGAATACAGTTGCTAGCCATCTTGGTGCAATCCTTGGTAAACGCAATGCTGACGATGCTGAAGTTGAACTATTCTTGACATCACTCACACCACAACAACGCAACATTTGGAATTCAATCAAAGACCAGTTGGTCAATGTTGCTATTCATACAGCTACCACTACTCTTGGTTCTCTCTTGGGTAAACGTAATACTGATGATGCTGAAA